GTTTTACATAAACATAGTTGTGTGCATGCATGGATGTGTGGGTGTGGGTGTGAATATGCAGGTACAAAGTAGATTTGTCTGTTTATATGTGTTTAGTTGCATATATGTATGTGTCAGTTTATATTGAAATTTTTCCATATCACAAAATGAAATATAGGCAGAGGACTGGGGCCATAACTAACTGGATCCTAGAAGCATGGGGGGCGGGTAATGGGGAAAGATGCATGAGTCCTCCTTTAAGTGACTTAATGTCTTTTTTTTTTTATATATATAGAAAATTTGCTCCTCAGACATCATTATTGGTATTCTTGATCACTACTGTTTTTATTGATAATACAATAATATTTATTGTTAACTTTAAAAAAATAGTCTTAATATAGTTTAGGCTGCTCTCAAACTTGTTACATAACCCAGGTTGGCCTGGAACTGATTTTCCTGCATCAGTGCCTGGGGAAACAGGTGTAGCTATCACACATACCTTGATTGATAATTATTAATTTAAAAGGCCACAAAGTTACATGAAGGTGAAGTTGGTCTTTCCTGGGAGGTTTTATAAGATAGGTGGATATTTTCTTCTCCCTCTCAGAAGTTTAAATAATATGAAATAATTAATAATGATCAAAACGGCCATTCCTGGGTCTGTTTTATTCTTCTCTTACTCCAGCTGAGATAGGAAAGATGCTCTCCAAAGCAAGGCAGTGATGGTGGATGGTCTTGGGCCTTAGGAGTTGTGTGCTCCATTACTCCATTCACCAGATGACCAGCAAAACAGCAGCAGCCCAATCCACACCCTCAGATAAGTGGCAGAAGGCCAGACATACCATGTCCAGCTGATAGAACCAAGTATCCAGTTAGACGACCGAGAAAGGCCAAGTGCTCAGGTGGATGAAGAGGACAGTCACAGTCAGAAAGCAGAAGAGAAATGGCTGCAATGCTCAAGCATTGAGTTTTGCGCTGAAGCTTGGTGATGCACAATCATCTTTGGTAACCTCTGACCAGAGCCGAGGTTAATTTGAATGTGGGAGCATGTGGAACAAGTCACAGAACCTGCTGACGTGGGAGCTGGAGGCAGGGAGCCCGTCATTTAGAGCCTAATAATTTCTCCTCACTTACTAGGGGGTGATCTCAGCCTTTCATTCAGTAAAATGTGTAGGTGTGCACAGGGGTGTGTAGAATCTGCGGCTGGGCCTAGAGAGAATTACTCATTCTCACCACTAGAGGGCTCTTTCACCAGTTAAATTGCAGATTCGAAGCATCCTCCTTTCTTAATGGAGCCAGAGGCTTCCTTGGTGTTTGCCAATGATCCTTTCTGATCCTGCTCATCTGGCAGGGGACTCGGAAGGCATTCTGGCAGCTTTAAACTGGTGTGCGTTTCTCTTATTAAGACATTTTCTTCAGCTGATTTCTTAGCTTGCCATTAACAGTCATAGTATATTTATTTGTGCTTTTTCTTGTCTATTAGAGTTCCACTTAGGAAAATATTGTTAACAGCTAATTCAATTCAATAACTGTTTCATGAGTGCCCACCATGTACATGACAATCAGCTTTACACTTGAGACAATGACGTAAGTCTCATTCTCCTAGGAGCAGGAGATGCTGTATTTGTCTGTAAGCACCAGAAACTCACTGGAGCTAGCTTGAGAAAATGGAGAGGGTGCTATAAGAATATGGGGGGGGGTTGAGGAAAGAGAAGCCAAAAATACAATTAGGCCTCAACAAGGAATTGGAATCCCTAAGTAAAAGCCACTGGGATCCCTGGCAGCTTCGTATTGTCCACCTCTGCCCCCTTTTACATTCTTAGAGAAAAAGCTTTGCTTCCTCAATGCACTCTCATTGCTGTGGAAGAATAACACCCAACCCAAACAGCTGATGGTGTGTGTGGGGGGAGCGGGGGGGGGGCTATCGGCTCCTTGTTTCAGAGGTTTCAGAGAGGGCATGCTAGGTCAGGGCAGCTGACATCTTGGTAGCCAGGAGGCAAAGAGGGAGGAAGTGGGAGGGAGTGGGAGAAGGGAGGAGAAAGGGGGAGAAAAGAGAGGGTGAACACTTTGCTGGTGGGTTCCCATGTTTATCTCTCCTGGCCCTTAGCCTATGGACTGCTTGAGAGCAGACCTTCCTCTTGTGGTTCATGTCTCTGGAAATGACCTCACAGATATACCTAGGGGTGAATTTACTAATTTCCAGGTGCTTCTCAAGCCAATCAATTTGATAAGGTCAACACTCATACCTTCTCTGTGCTTTGATCTTCCAGATGGAAGCTAGAGTTAGGCTTTTTGTGTTATTCCTACCAAGAACTCTACCTAGACTAACGTGAAGTACTTTAGCTCCAGTTTAGAATATTCAGAACTGACGACCTAATTGGTCTAGCTTGTGTTATGTTATTAGACTACTGCTAATCATATGGGCTGGGGGAGGGGATCCTCTGGCACAATCTGTCTAAGAGGCTAAGGAGACCACACCCTGTGATCTGGGGAGGAAGCTAAAAGGCGGTATTGTGACACTACAGATAGAAATCAAGACATGTATCTTTGGCTGAAGAAAGTAGATATAGAAGCTGGGCATCTTATTAAAAAAATGGCAAAGATAGGAGCTGGAGAGATGGCTCAGCAGTTAGGAGCAATGGCTGCTTTTCCAGAAGACCCAGGTTCAATTCCCAGCACCCACAGGGCAGCTTACAAACATCTATAACTTCAGTTCCAGGGGATCTGATACTCTCCTCTGGCCTCTAAGGCCACCAGGCACACACATGGTACATAGACATACATGCAGGCAAAACATTCATACACATAAAATCAATAAATGAACAGTCAATAGAAGACCTGACATCCTGTTACCATATCTGAAGCAGAAGCCAGGGGTAGGGTGGAGTAAGCTAAAAGAAGACAAACACAGACGTCCGACTACTCTTGGGTGGAAAGACCAGGGGCTCCAGGGCAGCTGCCTTTCCATTTCAGCCTTTTCTAGCCTGCCTGGTTTTAAGTCTTATGCATGCATACTTTGGTAAGTGTTTGGGGTTAATTAAAAACTGAGTGAAAAATAAAAGGCAGCAAGTCACCTGTCCACTACTCTCAGCCACCTCTTGCTTTGTCATTACAGCAATGCCAAGTGTTTCCATGAGTGATCTCTATTCCTAACACCTGGGATTCTCTTCCCTGAGATAGCCTGTTCACTGAAAAATTGCAGGGAGTGTGTGAGGGCGCATAGCTGGACGGTGCAGCAGGTAAAGATACTTGCTGCCAAGCTTCATGACCCGAGTTCAGTCTCTGGGACTCACATGATAGAGGGAAAGATCCTCCTGGAGCTTATCTTCTGTTTTCCACATTCATGTCTTGGTAAGCATGTGCCTGTACACATATGTGCATATATATATAGACATACAAGTAAATAAATGCAATACAAAAGTAATTTTTAGTTTACACAATTTAGATAGCTTGTGGTTTACTCCATTACTTCATTTATTTCTAAGCTCAAATGTCGCCATCTCAGAGCATCCTCCCCTAGCTGTGCTGTCTAAAATATCACCCCATATTTCTCTCTCACCCCTCACTCAGGCTAGTGTTCTGCTGTGGTGTTTATCATACCTGGGTGCATGAACACTCAGATGCATGTATGTGTGTGTGTTTGTGTCTTCCTCATCTTCCTGATGAGGAAGTTGCTTTGTTTTCTTTGCATCTACATTTCCCAGCCTCAGACTAGTGCCCAGGATGTAGTAGCTACTCAACCAGCGTTTGCTTAATCCATTAATTGTGTAAGTAGTGATTAAGCTTCATGCCTGGAACAGGCACTGTGGACTCAAGCAAGAGGCATATTGCTCTTGATCACCTGGATCTTCAGTCTGAAGGAGTGGACAGTGATGATCAGGAAAATAAAAATGCTTGTAGCAGATGCTGTTGGACAGATGTCCTTCACCAAGTCGGTATGTTTACAGAATCCTAAACCTGACTGCCACAAATCACAGCTGCAATTCTTGGGACAATTTTTCAGCTTATCGGAGCTACCTTGCCCAAGGGAATGACATGTCCCTCAGGGACAGCTTGCAGCCAGAGGGCAGCAGATACAGGGATGCAAAAGGCAGCCATCTTGCAGAAGGAGGAACTGTATATGTTCCATAGTCATTCATGGATCAGGCTAAGACTTGACTCTGTCCTCCTTTCTTGTGGTTCTTAAACTATAAAGTGCATTAGAATCACCTACAATGGAGTTGTAAGCTCACAGGTATTGTGCTTGCCTAGCATGTAGGAAGCCCTGGGTTCAATATCTAGCATCCCATAAACTGGGCATGGTCATGCACATTAGAAGTTCAAGGTCATCCTCAGCTACATAGTGAGTTAGAGGTCAACCTGGATACATGAGACAAAAACAAACTATTCTCTCTCTCTCTCTCTCTCTCTCTCTCTCTCTCTCTCTCTCTCTCTCTCTGTGTGTGTGTGTGTGTGTGTGTGTGTGTGTGTGTATATGTGTGTATGTGTGTGTGTGTTTAACTTGACACAAATCTAGAGTTATCTGGGAAGAGGAACTTCAGCTGAGAAGATTCCACCATCAGACTCCACTGTAGGCAAGTTTCTTGATTAATGATTGCTGAGAAGGCCCAGCCCATGGTGGGTGGTGCCCACCCTTGGGCAAGTGGTCCTGGGTTGTATAAGAATCAGGCTGATCAAGCCATGGAGAGAAAGCCAATAAGCAGCCCACCTCCATGCTCACTACTTTAGTTCCTGCCTCCCAGATTTCATGCCTTGAATTCCTGTCCTGACTTTCCTCAGTGATGGTCTGCTCTCTGAAAGTGGAATATGAAATAAACCCTTTCCTCCTTGTGGTGGTTTGAATGAGGGTAGCTGCCATCAGCTCATATATTTGAATGTTTGGTTCCAGGTTGGTGGGCTGTTCAGGAAGGATTAGGAGCTGTGGCCTTATTGGAGGAGGCGTGTCACTGTGGGGGTACTTTGAGTTTTCAAAAGCCCACACCAGTCCCTGTTTTGCCCTTTCTCTACAGTGTGCAGACCAGATGTGAGGTCTCAGCTGCTGTGCCTGTGATGTCCTTGTCTGCCACCATGCTCCTCACTATGATGATCATGGACTCTCCCTCTGAAGTGGTAAGCAAGGTTCCAATTAAATGCTTTCTTTAATGAGTTGCCTCTTTTCAGCAGTAGTAACCCTAACTAAGACACTCCCCAAGTAGCTGTTGGTCAAGGTATTTAACACAGCAAACGAAATCTAAGACACAAACCAAATCAATGAGCTAGAATTACCTAAAAGGCTTATTATACAATAGATTCCTGATAAAGGGGGCGATGCTTAACAATGTTAATTTCTAGAAAATTCTCATGGGTGCTATTGCTGCTCTCCAGAAAGTCACAATTGCAAAATTACTGTTCTTTATTACACTGTGTCCCACGGTCCCTTGCTCCTTCAAGAAATCAAGTGCATCAGAACTTCTGCCTCAGGCTCTATTTCTAGGGACTTTAACCTATGCAATCAAAGGGAGCTGATAGAGGGATGCCCTCAAGGACAATTGAGGTCACTGAAGAAAACTATAGAAAACTCGCCACTGAAACAGAAGCCTTGAGAATGGGCAGATGAGTGAAGATCAGGGTCAACATGTTGTGGGTAGTTAGACTCACAGATTGAAAGCCCTGGTCTGAGATGGGCTTGAGGAAAAGAAAGAACAAAGCACCTGTCATGATTTTGGGGCTGTTTTTATAGTTGAAAGCAAATTCAATTTTTTTTCAGTCTTCCTTAAAGAGAAAAGTGGGCCAATAACAAACTTGGATCAATAAAATGTAATTATAAGTTGCCGTATGGAAATAGCCAGAGGGTGGGAACAATGCATGTATTTATCTGCTGATGGCTGGATAACCACAAAGTGGTACACATATGCTGAAGAATGTTATCCATCCATGAAAATGTATGAAGTTCAGTACATGCTATAGTATGAACAGACCTTGATGACGTCATTATGCCAACACAAAAGAGTCTGCTTATTTGAGTCTCCGAAAGCAGGCAAGTATTTAGAGGCAGGCAGTGGATTGAGGTCACAAGGGGCTGAAAAGCAAGGGTAACAGAAAGCTTTTCTCCACTACTACAAAACTTTTGCTACAATTACAAAAAAAAAGGTTCAATAAAAGCAGTAAAGATTGTACAGTATTGTGAATGTGATTGATGCCCTTGAATTATATACTTTAAGTGATTGAAATGTCAAATTTGGGAATGGAGAGATGGCTCAGAGGCTAAGAGCACTGGCTGCTCTTGCAGAGGACCTTGGTTGAGTTCCCATCACCTACATAGTGGTAAGTAACTCATAACCTTTTGTAACTCCAGCTCTAGGGGATCCAGTGCCCTCTTCTGGACTCCATGGGCACTGCATGCATGTGACAGGCAAACATACATGCAGGCAAACACACATATACACAAAATAAAAATAAGTAAAACCTTTTTAAGTGTCAAATTTTGTGTTACATATTTTTATCACAATAAAAAGGTGGGGAAACATTGTATTATGGGTTTTCCGTAAAAATAAAATATCCTTGGAAGCACTTGACTTTTGGCCATGTGACAAGGCTTGGCTTTTCCACGTCTTCCTGCCTGAAGCCAGGACTCAGTGACTTCTCAGCATCCTTGTCACTGTATAGTCACAGCTCATGTTTAGGATATTTGAAAAGAAGAGATTCTGAATCCCCTCCCCATATTATTAGCCATCATCATAGGCCAGGACTATTTGTCTTCAAAATTCCTATTATATGGCAAAACCCAGACCATTAGCTGATTGAACTGATTTTTCAAGTTTATAATGAAGATAATCACCAATTTATATAGACATGGAGAAGTAAAATTAGAGGGGTAATTTAGTGGTCAAGAAACTCTTAGTCCCAGTCAACAGAAAGCCAGCTCAAGGGGGATAAATGAACAAATACATTCAGTAGTCAGTATGTGTGAACGTGCAGAGGTAATGACACTTGGAGTAGCTGCACCCAGGACCCCCAGCGGTGGTGTGTGGGGTCCAGGTCTCAGTCCGTATCTCAGTCACATTGCTCTGTGATGGCTCCGTGCTCAGCCTGGCTCTTCTCGAGAAGCCAGAGCTCCTGACTGACATCTTACCCACAACCCCAGAGGGAGCAGAGCTCCACCCACAACTGCAGCACGTTTCTTGGAGCTGGTTTCTCATTGGTCCGTTTCCATCTGAACAGGAGCATGATAAACAGGAAGTAGATTTAAGGTCTAGGCTCCCGTTCCATCCCTGGGCATACGGGAAAAGCAGCGTCATCTTAATCCATGTGGACCGAGAATAAGCTGAAGGATGAATCTTAGAGGAAACTTCTGATGCAGATGCCAGAAGAAGGATGGCTAACGGGCAGGAAGGAAAACATGGCAGACACCGTGCCCTGCAGTCATGGAGATGGCCCATGCTAGGTCATTCAAATTAAAGATACTTCTGGAGCTGGTTCAGTGATTAAGAGCATACACTACTCTTACCAATGAGGCAAGTTTTGCACCAGTTGGGAGGCTCACATGCTATAACTCCAACTCCAGGTGATCCCATACCCTCTTCTCACCACCATGAGCAACTGTACTCACATGCACACAGCACAGGCCTACACAGACACATAATTCAAAATAAATCTTTTTTAAAAGGTATGCTTACTAAGTTCTGCTATCGGCATTGGGGCTGTAGCAGTGAGCAGGACAGATGGATTCCCCATCCTTTAGAGGTCTTGCATGTTGAGAGAAATGGCCAAGAAATATGTAACTAATGAACCAATCAAAGCAATACAGTATGCTAGCTCTCTGTTACTATCACAAAACACTGGAGCTAATACATTTTTCTTTCTTTCTTTTTTTTTGGGGGGGGGGTTTGAGACAGGGTTTCTCTGTGTAACTTTGTGCCTTTTCTGGATCTCGCTCTGTAGACCAGGCTGGCCTTGAACTCACAAAGATCCGCCTGGCTCTGCCACTTGAGTGCTGGGGTTAAAGGCGTGCGCCGCCGCCACCACCGCCTGGCATTACATTTATTTTTCAAAGGCTTCTTTTGGTTCATATTTCTGGAGGTTGCAGTCCACACACAGTTGGTTGACTATTGCTTTGAGGCTGTGATGAAGCAATTGAGATGAACAAAACCATTCACCCCCATGCACCAGGAGAAATACAAAGCAGGGAGAGGGATACCAGGGTAGATGGAGGATGGAGGTCCAACCTTCTCAAAGGTGTGCCTCAGTCACTCAAGGACTTTCCTGTAGGCCCCACCTACCAAAGGTTTCATGGTCTCCCAATAGCACTACACTAGAATGAAGTCTTTACTATATGGATCTGGGGCCCATTAGAATCCTAACGGTAGCATACTGGCAACCATACACACCTTGAAAAAAATGAAATTTTGTGACCTGACCAGGGTTGGCAGTAGAAGAGTCACTTTAGACAACACAGTCCATTGGGAATGCATCCTGAGAAAGTGACCCCTGCATGAGGAAAGCCTGTGCTGGAGGAGGGGCCTGAGAGGAACTGGGGGACTGTCCCCAGCACAAAGGCTGTGAACATGGCTTGTCGATGGTCAGAGAGGGTGGTATTGTGGGGCTTTGGTGGACAAGGAGATAAATGGAAGATGAGGTCAGGAAAGTGAATTAGAACCAGAATTAGAACTACATGCAGAGTTCACAAGGCAGGGCAGACAAGAGTGGGTGTTAACCCCCCCCCCCATAACAGAAGAATGAGGTATGGCCAAGTTGGGGGATGGCTCAAATGATGCCATTTGGAGACTTCACTATAGTCATGGAGTGGGTAATGAAGTGTAGGAATGAAGGCCAGGAGCCGCTTTAGGGAACTGTGTCCCTGATTCAGGTATTGGTGTTTAGGACATTAAGGCGTGGACATTTCCTGAGGGCTGAAGAGAACACTCAAGTGGCCATAAGCAGGGAATGATCTGGTCAAACTTTTCTGGTTGTGCATTGGTGCTTTGGTTGTGCTCCACAGGACAGAAATTAGAGCAGAGGGCAAGAAAATGGCAGTCCTTCAATCCCAAGATTCCACAAGGGAACTTCTGTCCTTCCTGCTGTCTAGGTTGAAATATGAGGTGGGGGACAGGAGAATGGAATTTGCCTTCATCCAAAACCTGACTCCAGGTAACTGGACTTAGAATAAAGAACCTCAAGTAATGTCAGTGGGAGCACTGTGAGCGAGAACCTTTGTTCAGCTGGAATCCAGAGCAGGTCTGGGATAAAAGCTTGGATCTCTGGGAGCACCAAATGCTGTACTTCCTGCACCACAGAGAGCAGACAGTAAAGGTGGGTGATGAGGTTTGGAGAGGGTGAAACACAGGTTCAAGACCCAGTTGCCTCTCCTGCATGACCTTGAAAGAAAGTAAATTAACCTTCCATGTCCCTCTTCCCTCTGAAATAAAGCCAGGATCTCATTAGGACCTGTCTCTTTAGCCAATAGGACCTTCCTTACTGCAGAATGTGGATTGCATATGATAATGCATGCAGCCCTTAGCGCAGGGCCCAGCATGTATCAACTGCTCAATAGATGTCAGCTGCACTATAAATAAAATGGTGATGCCAAAGAAGCTGGCTCCCTTAATGAGATCTGTTCTAATCTGCCACCTTTGGAATAACAAATGGCTGACATTACGGGCTTAGTTTCCTTGAGACCTATACACCAAGGAAACACAGAGACCCAGGAAGAGGCTAGAGACTCAATGGGTGTTTAGAAAAGAGATGAAGACCTCAAGAGATAACTGAAAGGCCAAAAGCTACCTCCAAACCCCACACAGATCGATGAAGTAGGATGTGTTTGGGGCTTGATGACCTAGAGTGTTATCCATGGTCTCATTCCTAAGAGTGTCAGGGGAATATGGTGTGGTAGCGTTCCTTTGCAATCCCAGCACTCAGGAGGCAGGAGGAGCTCAGGGCCTGTGTGGCTGCCTCCCAAGACCCTGTCTCAAAGATTTCAAAATAACAGTGTGTCAAACATGAGTCTAGAAAGGGATCCTGAAGAGGAGGGAAGAGATCTTAAGTTGAGGAGAGGGTAATGGATATATGTGCCATGAAAACAAGAGAGGGGTATTTGGGGAAAGTAAGGGAACCAGCAGAGAATGTGGGGGGTC